TTTTTGAAGCCTTCCATAGGCCATCAGGTAGTTATTGCTCTTCGGAAGGACTTTTTCCCTATCTCCACTGGATTAGGATCTACCTTTAAAAACTTCTGTTTGACCTGACACAACACTTACCGCTTTCTTAAGTTGATCTATAATCTTACTCAGTCAAATCCTGAAAGTCAACGTATTTTGTTGCTTAAAGCCTCTGCATTTTTTGCACTCTGTCCATATCTATATTTAAATATCTTACGTTCATGAACCGGTAGACATTAGGAGTTCATTTTCCGGAAATCCTATATTTTAATAAATCCACACAGCGTTTTTGCTATTATGCCCATTTCACAATGGATAACGTTTTCGCGAACTTCACATTCCATATATGTCACATTTTGTAGTGAACAAGCTGAAATGCAGATTTCTTAATAAACTGCTTTTTATCAAGTTTCTAAACCACCTTTCCAGCTTCTGAAAGACATAAAGAAACAAGATCTTTCAGAGAAACTACAATATTTTACCCTACTTTGAAGAGCTGACTTGCTTGAATACAAGGTTTTTTAGTGTAGAGCAGTAATGGACTGCAGTACAGTGGTTAATAGTGGCTAGAAGCGCGTCTCGATGCATACCTGGTTGTCAATTCGACGCGCGCCGTGCAAAAAGAAGGCGAATAAATTACAACGGCTTTTTTTTGCTAACTTCCAAAAATAATAGCGTAGTTAAGAACTTCTTAGGTAAGCTCTTATTCACATAAAGAATTATATTCTCATATTCTGCTGATGTTGTGTGCAATTTTATCGTTTGAAAATGATAAAAGGACGAAAGGTGAAGCTGTCGGCGTTGATCAATCCCGGGGAATGCGCCATGCGTTCGACTTCATTAAGCATCGTTGGAAATGATCGAATGCGTATCTGACCTTTGTAATGACTCGCAGTGGCCTATCGATGTATTCAGCCAGTGATGCTACCCTCCCAGACAATCCGGAGGAATGGTGGGCTTGTGGGCCAGGAGCACGGGGATTGATCCCAAGTGCTTTGCAGGGCGCCTGCGGCCACTGTGCTACGTGCCCTGAAAATAATGTTCTTTCCTATACAGTTGAGATTAAAAAAAAATACTTCGCTAAAAATCCGAAGTAGATTCTATTTCATTCCTCTATCGTTATCCGTTCCACTTGAGCCTATATTTTATTTCATTATCACCCGTATAATGCCAATATTTGCCATTTTAATAGACGTTGTATTCATTTCCAACGGAGCATATAGAATTTGGGTAGGCTTCAGTCTATGCAAATTGACTAATGAGATTTTTTCAAAGATATTTCCTTAAACGTAAAAGAAACAACAGCCGCTTAACAAACTATTCCCTTTAAAAAATGTAGCAGTTTGACATCACTTTGGCTCCCCAGAAAGAGAATGCCAACGACATTCAGCAGTCTCCACCAAATCACTGTATTCTGTAGAAATCTTGAAGTTTCTAGTTGCTCGTTCCGCTTGATTATTGATGTTCAACCTTTAAGTCGAGATCTTTCCACCTAATGCCTGACTCGACAGGTTCATTGTCAGCAGCACTGCCAATGCTGATTCTACGAGATAGAGTTTTGGCAAAATTCATTGAAAGTGAGGACAATCTTCTGCAGGCGACGGTCGTTGATTGCCGGCTAATTGGAAATGACGTTAGAAACAATCATGGAAGACGACCACGGGCGAGATTTCTTGGCACGCTCGCAGCCTGCAGTTTATCGAGCAACACCCTCTATTCACACAGCTCGGAAGTCTCGGAATCGAATGAGTGAAAAAATCTGCAAGGTGAGAACTATCGATATCTAATCCAGCTAGAGTTAGCAACCATAGTTCTTTTCTGATATACGTTGGAATATTGAGCATTTCAGTGCATCGTAGAAGCCAAATGTACAGATAATATTTTATTCGCTTGTGCTGCAGCCGTTGGAGCTGTGGTCCTCGTTCTTCAGTCGTTTCCAATATTTATGAATAATTGGGTCTTCCTCACAGAACCTCGACCAATCAACAAAACAAATGAAAACGGCGAACAGATGGTAGGTTTTTAGGTTTCATTTCTGATTGTCGAAGCATGGTGGTGATATAAATTCTCTTCAAATTCTCTTTGTTTTCGCGTTTCAATGTTGAATGGAATATATTGATACTCAACGTGCTTCTCTTGTAAAGCCCTAGTAAGCAAAAGTAAATTGCATTATAAAATACTCTACTGCGTTCCGAGCTACTGATTAACAACACTGCGACTTGCAGGAGAGCACATTTCATTACAACGCCGGATATTTCCAAGTTTGTCGCATGCATAAGAACAATCAGACCGGTGTATTGTATAGCGAGTACGAGGTACCAAGTAAGTGTTTTCACCTAAGTGATTTTCTCCAAAGAATTTCAAAAGACTGAAAACTGAGGTAGGCCGTCAGTTCTGTTAACATTTTAACAGTTTTTAATACATTCATAACGTTAGCCATTGAGTTAAATGCGCACACTGCTTGGCATAGCGTCGGATACATATTGATTTCGAGGAGTTTTCTACCCGTGTGACTTGTTTTCAGCACAAAGCTTCTTTGCAACATTTTTTGTGCTCAATGCATAGTTTATCCAACACTAAGACCAAGCCAAGGTCTGGTGGTCTAGATGCGTAATACTTTGCGAGAATCGTTTTCGGATGAATTTAATAGGTTGATTCTATTCCTGTGATGCGTACGAGCGTGTCTGTTATAGAGGAACCTCGAAGTTCGAAGCTCAGGAACATTTTATCGCAAGAATAGTGGTAGCACTGAACAAGTTTGTATAGTCGTTTTCGGACTATCCGTTAGTACGTTAATTGTACAGTACGTAGGACTAGGCATACACACAATGCGCATTCATCAATGTGCAGAGTACGTCTTTGGAAGGGCACCAGTTTTCAAATCATATTCTCTTAACATCTCATTTATGCTGCAGACGTTTTACCCAAGTATGTTTACTTTACAATCTGCAAACTTTTTAATTAGGATAATTCCCTGTACCCTAATTCCACAGGACTTAGGTTTCCAAGTTATAATAAACTATATGCAATATACTATTTATACACAATATACAATGCACGATGATAAAAATTCCATACCTGCACCTAAAAACGTTATTTATTTCTTAAATTGAATCTACTCTTCTTGTGGAGAATCTGCAATTCCTAAACGTAATATACACTTATAAAGGCGCGTGGCCCAGTGGTCGGAGGTGTCCCGCAACACACACGTGGAATCGTTCCCTGCGCACAATGCCCACCAAGCCTTCCATCCATCCGGGTTCGGGCAAATTGCTATCAAACTTGTCTGGGAGGTTAGCAGCAGCACATCAGTATGCCACCGCGAGTCATTGTAAAGGCCAGATATGCATTCAATCACTTCCTAACGATGCTTAATGAAGTTGAATGCATGGCGCGTCACTCAGGGATTGATCAACGCCGAGGGCTTTATCTTTTTATCTTTTAATATACATTTACAAAGGATTTATAGTCCTTGACTACAATCATGTATAAAATATAGAATTTGCACTCCTTGGAATAATTTATACGTCTTGCAATAAAATACAACACTTACGTCAACTATTAAAATACGCCCAATAAAAATGCTTCATATTATACATTGGCTAGGCTATGCGCTTCGTCCACTGCCTTACCGCGCTTTCATTGCAGCCAAGGCGTCTATGACGTTGTGGTAATTCTATTAAGCTGCATTAGGATTCTTTGAGAAAATTAGCTGGAAACACTATTTACTGGCCTAACTGGAAGGTACTGGAGTGAAAACACTGGTTAAGAGCTGGGCTTGCAACCATGCCGTTCAAGAGGAACGGTTTTATTAATTCAGTTGAAGAAAAATGGTGGGTTTCGAGTATAAGTTTTAAAACTATGTAACTTAGCTCAGGCATAACCATATCGATCAAAGTATAAATTATAAGGACTGTACATTTTGGTTAGTTAGAATAACTACCGTTTGTCCTTTTAACCGGAATTCTGAGAGACGAATTCTTGAAGATATTTTTTGCATCTGCTTTGTTCTTGAAGGTTTTTGTGAAAATAGTTGAAAGAGGGTGGTTGAAAAGTGGTACTATGTTAACGAGAATTCCTTTGTAGTCCAAGTCCATTTTTCGCAGTGTTAGATGTGCAGCGTTTGCTCAAACATTATTGTGCAAAGGGATTTAACCTTTTAGCTGAATTGTGTTGGATTCACACACTGTGATTTCTGACTCAGTTTGCAAGCGCACTAACAGAGTTCCTTTGCTGTGATCGTTTTGTCACATTTCGGAAAGATCTAGTTGATTAATAAATCGTAAATCACCGGCGAGCCCCCGTAATACTCCTATTCCCCAAATGAAAATTTGTTTGGGAGACTCATTTGGGTCAAATCGCTGGTATGATCGGGTTCGGGTGTCATATAGGATCAGATTTTCATAACGTGTGATTGCAGAACACACTCCATAACAATCTCTTTATTTTTTGTACATCTCGCATGGCACGCACCTATTCACCGGGCTTTTAATAACGATTATTGACTAGTTAGCTATGAGTTATTGTGCTACCGTTCTAGTAGTTTTTAGAAGATCCATCCTGACTATAGCTTTCAGATCGCCGTCATCAACTGCTGAAATCCATCACGGAGAGTTGAATTTTGATTCGACTCTTGTTTCTCCATTCCATTCAATTCTGTTCTATTTGTTGTACAGCAAGCTGCTAAAACATAAAGTTTTCAGTTGTCTACAGTTATCTTGCATTGTGGTTGGACGGACGTTTATGTATAAAACGTCTATCGTAGCATAGATGGAATAGAGCAGCATAGAAAAACGCGTTAGCGATGACGTTTGCACTGGTTTATATAAAAGGCAATATGTGGATCATTTTTGATGTAACATTGTTTAACTCAAGCGAGTTATCATAGTAATGGGTAATTGATTACATTCATATCGGATGATTAAGACGAAATTGTGGCTGCATGTTTGTTATCAACGAAATTAAGAGAAGAGGCATGTATTTCATTGCGTTTACACAGAATGATTCACTGTTATAAAGACAGATGAATTATATAAAGCTAGAATGAAAGCTCATAACTACGATGAGTGATCAACTGAACCATCTACGCACAGTGTATTGTATGGAACAAGCTTCTTCTTGGTTGCTTTGATGATGTTTTAAACTACTGTCACTGTTTTGTTGTAAATGTTTGAACTTATAAAGGAAGTGACGAGACCCTCATGGTTTGAGAGCATCGTTCCAACCACGTGGAAATCATTATAAATTAAATGCTAAAGCACTATCACATCGCAAATAGTTAAGAAACAAATAAGTTTTAAATGAATATAGAGATGCTATTGTAATATTCATAGTGAAAAATTCGCCTATTATTTTGCGTTAACCTACATTAAGTAGCCTCCCAATGGTTTACCGCCTCAGCGTGGCTGGAAGGTGTTTCTGGGTGTCTGACTGCGATGTACAGCGGTGGGACTCGTCCCCTTGACAGGGTCTCCCAAGCTGAGAATAAATCCGGCATTTCTATAAGAAAACCTAGCTTTTTGCTCTAAGAATAAACCAATACTAGGATCTACTACCGTCCTGGTATCAAAGTCGCATGGTGGGAAATCTCCCTCTGATCCACAAGGGCTGCGACTGCCTGTGGTGGTGAAGACCTGGGGCAGACTTTGGCCAGACTGGCCTTGGGATTCCAGAGAACTACAATGGCTTAAGCAGCAAATCTCCGAAAAATGATGATTTTGCTGGGGCCCGTGGAACCAGTGAACAGGGGCGGTTCAAGTACCAAGTATCAAGTACAGTGAGTAGACGTTGTTGGAACTAGTACATAAAATTTCATATTGACACTAAGCATTTCTTTGATTTCGTTTGCTATTTTAAATTCTTTTTGCCTTTAGTTTAGTAAGTAAAAATTTTTATAGAAGCGGAAAGCGTTTACAAGTGCTACCTTAACCCTTTGTTCTCTCGCGAGGATTTGACGGATCATTCCGTGGCATCGTTAGCTGTAATTAGTAAGTTGAATCATTCACAGATATCTCGAAGCAAATTAAATAAGGAATAAATGGACTTATTGCGGTTGAACGCTGTCTTTTTCGTTTTTCTTTTCTGAGTGTTCATATTTCTCAGTACTCACACTATCATTTTCTATTTCGTCTATGTATATTGCAACGTGCGAGGTTTTGGTTTTAAATGGAACTTTCACTTGACGGTAGAAACCGTATTTTGGAGCAGATTGGTTATTTTGGGACGATATTCCATTTAAATTAGTCGTACTTAGAGAAAATCAGGAAAATAAAACTGCGAAATTTTGCTGGCATTATATGTTCTGGTTGTAGGAAATCGCAACTGGGAATTAAAAAGTTGGTCTTTTGTGTTCTTCACTGGACGAAGCCTTGTAGTTGCGCTACTGAAAGTGGACGTTACTTGAAAATTCTCTGAAATGTTATGATTTCAGTGAGACTTGGTTTACCAGCGCTACTCCATGTCACGGGCGCCTTCATCTGCTGCTTAGCCTACGTTCTTGGAATTATTGGCCACCTCAAAAAGACTTTTCACACTTTATTTTCCTGCATCGGCTATATGTGTGGAAGTGAGCACAACTTTACCGTCAAAGATTAATTCTTCTTAACTTTTTGGAACACGGAAATGGGATTCTATCTAATTTCTCTTCACTTTTGAAAGAAATTCGTGCTATGTTTACTCCCTGAATTCCACATTTCTAATTTCATTTTACTTGTTGATTGCAGACACATTAAAACTCAGTGAGCTACACTAGAGAAGAGGACGTGTGCAGCTCAATGGTTAGGTGTAGTATGCAATGCACACTGGACCGGCCTTTAGTTCGATCCCGGACCTCGAGTCACCGTGCTTTCCATTTCTCCGAGGTCGAAAAAATAGAGTGAACTGAAAAAATTGACTGGGAGGATAAAAACACTGTTGTAGTACATCTGGAGGCCACAACAGCTCATTGCATAGTCTAGCTGCACATTCATTCACTTCCAAGGATGCTCGATGAAGACGAATGTATGGTGTATTACTCAGGGATTGGTCAACGCTGAACGCTTCATCCTCTACCCTTTACTACAAAAAAGTTCTTCGCTGTATTATGAAAGCAACCTATAAATACTAGCGCCGTTGACATCTCAGTCATGCTCAGCGTGATGAGCAGCACTGACTTCTTTAGCCATGTAATCAAACAGAGTTCTCATCCAATGCTTATTAACATTTGCTATTTCTTTACTCCCAGTTTATTCCAAGTAATCGATGATGTGAAATGTATTCAAAGTAATTCAGGTATAATTCTTTGCACTGCTGTCCTCATGGTGGTTTGTGTAGTCGATGATGAGTTGGCGCCGAGAATGAAGCAAAATTCTGCTGGAGAACCTAGCAAGTTCAGCTATGTATATGGTGCAGTTCTCATATCGAGTCTCAAGATAGCACTAGAATAGGCTAAGCAATAGTTCGTAATCATCACTTACAGGATATCCGTTCTTCTCGTCAGCGTTGTCGTTTCTTCCCGTACAAGTATGCGTATCTCTTCAAGCGTTCTTGTACTTTAGGTTAGCGAACTTTACAAAGCGATTTCATGGCCTTCTTCATTGATTCTAACCAAATGCATATAGACAGATAACCACAACATACATTTGCCATGGACGTAGTACTAACAAATTATGTATATAAGAATTACATGCTTTCAATCGAAAATGAGCACCTTGTCAAAATATTCAGCCTATGACGCGTAAGCGGCATATGACTTCGCTCATCGGCTTTTTTTTTTTTACAGGCGATTCCCTTCCGTGGCAGAAAAGTTGAAATTTGTTCCAGGATTAGAAGCTAAATGTGAGTTTGTTTTGCCTATCCAATAAGGTACGCTGCAAAATAACTTCTTCGTGAAGATGCTTGAAGAAACGCATAGTAAGAGAAAGCAACAGAGATCTTTTTTTTGTAACATCAATGGAGTGTCACTAACCACATCACTGAGAAATCCCGATCCAATTACTTATGTAGCAACTCAGCTGACTCCAGTCGGAGGATAAGAACTAAATTATGGACCAAAAATGATCGATGGAGTCCCTGATCTTGTTGCATAGAATTTACATGCATATTTCTTCTGTATGTACATGGATATATTTACACGTGCGTCATTTCGTGTGCTCACGCATATGCAGATTGTATCTCGCACAAAAATTCGACCAAATATCTGCAATAAGGTGACTGAGAAGTATACGAGTTATGTTTAGAAATCGCCTCCGACAAATACGATTGTTGTCCAATCTGTGGGAAACTGGCAAGCCATCGGTGAATAACAGTTGCCAAAAACAGTGAAATAAGTGGATCTCGTTCCGCTTACTTCAAAACGGCTACGATCAGTATGGAAAGTGCGCCAAAATTTCAAGCCTATTCTAGGTTGCCTAGATCCGAAAGACCGTAAACACCGTGTTTAGTTAGAATTACACTAGAAGGTGATTTCTTTATTGGGATCCTGATGACGCTAACCAGATAGGTCATGTGCAAATTCGTCGGACGGGCTGCGATCGGAAGATACTTCGGGTTAAACACCTTTTATAAAACCACAAAACAACTATTCCTGAGAACATGAGGAGTCAAAGTTGTTGGTGTAGTCAGCACTAGTTTTGGTATTGATTCTTGTGGAATTGAATGTTTGCTGTTGAAAGAAAACGCATAATTCTTGTCTTCATAGAAAAGAATGAAAGCAGCAAAATTTACAGAATGGAGTCGTAGAGCCGTCGTAAAGTGGAACTCATTCAAATCTCCAACTGTGTTCGAGCAAGATACTGTTATGAACGCCAAACAGTCGAAGATGAGGTGGGCCGGACACGTAATGCGTATGAATGACAACCGATGGACAAGAGCCGTTAGTGACTGGATTCCTCGGGATGTCAAACGTACTGCAGGAAAATGACCGATCCGATGGTCAGAGTCCTTTACAAGGAACCTTGAAGAAAGATATGATGCTCGACGAGTCCTTAGAGTGCGCAGAACCCACCGGGCTACTATTGTACGCGGCAGGGAAAAATGGAAGATTTACTGGTGCCTGCTCGAGTCACTCCACGATCAACGGGACTGCAGATGATACAAACGATACTGTTATCAACAAAACCGATGAAGAATGCGATCCGATTACCTAAGATCTTCACATAGAAATAAGCAAGCCGACAGTCCCGAAATATGCAAACAGACTTCTGTCCTCAGAAATTTTCTACCTTTTACACGACCCGTCATCACATCTACTGTACCGATCCCAGCACTTATTGCATTCAATTCGTCTTAGTAGCATTCATCGTCCACAAAGGTTTCCGAACATTTTGCGTGTTGCTTCTGCCGCAGCTTGAAGATTTCGTTTTCTACTCATGAATGTTGTACAATGCTGATCGACTGGATCCTCCTTGTAATCTTGGAGATATCTACGCTAACTTATTGCATTCAATTCATCTTAATTAGGACGCGTGTGGCACAGTGGTTGGAGGCATCACTGCGACACACAGGTGGAATCAATCCCCGCGCCAATGTTCCACCAAGCCTTCGATCACTCCGTGTTCGGCAAATTGGTACCAGACTTGTCTAGGAGGATAGCAGCACTGCCTCCATACATCTGTGGGCCACCGCGAGTCATTGTAAAGGCCAGGTATGCATTCAATCACCTCCAACGATACTTAATGAGGTCGAATGCATGGCGCATCCCTCAGGGATTGATCAACGCCGAAAGCTTTGTCTTCTTTATCCTTTATCTGGGTTAAGGCATCCTCACATGAATTGAAGAAGAGCGTTGGGGAGAGGCTCGAATTAGCGCCTTTTGCTTCCTGATCGATGGCATCACACCGCTGCTCCTCCCCACATCTTCAGAAATACTTCAGAAAAAGCTTATGCATTAACGTGGTGTCGTGTGAGTCACATGCAATCAACTACTTCCATCCGAGCTTGCGATATTTTGTGGAGAAGCGATGAAAGATCTTAAGGAGAGAAGAGTAGAAAAACTTGTTGCATACGAAGAATTTGGGTAGAGCAACTATAACGCCTATCGAGACCTTGCCATTTAAAAGAGCAGAATTGTTGCACGAAGTTGTTCGGACGGAACACTTCCAGAAAAGCAACAGGCAAGATTATCCACGAATTATTTTCCGCTCTATTCTAAGCCTATGTTCATTTTGTCTAATATCAGGAAGGATGGATGTGTCATTCAGACTGCTCTCGTTCAGGAACCCGACAAGTTCGCTGTTTGATGAGAAATACCAAACTATTTTGTTCCAATTAGACCAGGCCAAACATAAGCAGATCCCTTTCTTGGTCTTCATTCATATAATGGTTCTGTTCTTCATACGTTGCTCGTTTAAAATTCTGAGATGCCAATCAAAGAAACTCTAACCAGAACCATTCTGTTGCACAAAAAGTAGGCCCTAAATTACCCAAGGAGCTGCCTTCTAATTTCTCTGTTGTCTGTCGTTTAGAAGCACTTCACAAAAACCATCATCAACCAGACTGAAAGAATTTTAAACGAAAGATAACTGCGAGGAGAATTAAACTTGATGTATCACATTCAGGCGATAGGAAAACCATAGTATTGGGTCAGATTAAATACCACTTTATCACATCTCCATTGATTTAAAAACGTTTTCTGCTCTGTTGACGAAAATTAATTATGGAAGTTTTGCAAATGTCTCAACATCATTGTGATCATCGAACTAATGAACAGCCATAGTACCTCCACTCAGTACATAACACTTCTTCATCGACTATAATAGAACATCACAATCAAACACTATTATGCATCAAAATTATCTTTGTTTTAAAGAAAGGTACCGGATGAGGCGATATTGCCCTGTCTAAACTACTCAGGCCCTCTCTAGAACGTCATGTGAAAAGGAGAACAAAATCAAATAGAAATGATAGTCGGAGGCCGGAAGACATATCAACTCCACTTTGTTCACAACATCGTTCGTTATTATAACTCCAACTATTAGCCAGTCCGAACTAAATGGGACAAATTACCATAGTGGTTATGAAAAAATTAACCACCAGTTAAGTTTCAAGAAAACGATATTCATAAGAAAGGGAATCGTTCATGATGACCTATTTATGCTCAGTGGAAATCTCCGGAAATTCCAGATAAATGTACCTATGTTGAGCCATCAACTTTATGAATCCATAGGATTGAGGAGGACTACACGAGCTACTGAGGAGTCTACAAGAGGGGTGACGATATTGTCAAGAGCGTGAAGAATACCTCAATCAGTGCATACGTTTCTGACCTTACAATTCCTTCCACTTTCAAAAGATTATGTCGGAAAGGCTGCCAATCCAATAATGATGCTGACGTATTTGCAGAGGTTTTAAGCAACAAAATACGTTGACTTTGAGCATGTTGACTGAGTAAGATTATAGATCAACTTAAGAAAGCGGTAAGTGTTGTGTCAGGTCAAACAGAAGTTTTTCAAGGTGGATCCTAATCCAGTGGAGATAGGGAAAAAGTCCTTCCGAAGAGCAATAACTACCTGATGGCCTATGGAAGGCTTCAAAAATAGGGATCGTTCTCATTGTGTTTCATGGAGTGCGGACACCCGTAATCCAATAAGACCTACACGGAGATTAGAACCACTCCACTGCGAGCAGAAATGGAAGGCTTCGATACTTTTCTTTTGCACTTAGTCAGACCTGAGATAGAACACTATAATACGACGATGTCAGAAAGAGGTAGACGGGTAAAAACGATGCTTAGCTTGTTCAACTCATATTACACTCATTCATGTTCCAAAGCCTTGCAACATCATATGTCGTCACATCGAATCCTTCAATAGAAAATAAATAGACAGTAAAATTTTAAAAATGCTAACTCCTCGGTATGGGGGAGAGGGTACAACAGAGGCAGTGATGACGTGCAAGCGGAGGGCCATGGTTCTACTTGGGCCGGATCAAGGAAGCCTGCCGAAATTCGGAGCATATCCTCCCAGGATTTTAAGGAGGATCAACTCCGCCAACATCTAAAGATATGCATAAAGCAGGCAAAAAGCCCTCAAGCAAGAGGCGGACACACACGCAAATATTAAGACCTTTGAGGATGATATATGCTGGCAAACAAATCGAATGAAAATGCCAAAATTCACAGGACGTGTGATGTCAGGTCCTATAAAATAAATGAATGTTATAATCTCTTGAAATGACCGTTACAACGTTTACAAGTTAAATATTCTTGGACAGCGCAACAATAGTTCAAGGATGGTATTTTAAAAATTTCGGGGATTTAGTTCAGTAAATAGTTTAGTCTTGGAACAAATTTACTCATATTATGCTATGTTAGGTAATTGTGACAACAGTGCTCAGCCTTACAGTGGTTGTCAAGTACATAATCATGCTAAGTCTGCTAGTACTTGGGTTTATCAACACCATGTGGAGCGCAGGAATGGATTACTGGTTGGGAATCACATTCACATAACTCGCATGAGAATGCTATGAATTTTAATTGTGCTGAGATATTTGCGAAACTCCGGACCGCAGATGTCTGCGGTGAGGAACGAACGCTCTATTGTCCTTTCCTGGGAGTAACGCGTTCACCACCACACCATGTGGATCCATCGTTTCGCCTGTCTTTCAGCTAGTTCTATTGATCAGTGGCATCAGCAATTAGCCGTTAGCGTGATTGATCTGGGGATCCCTAATCAGCAACGAACCCATTTAAGCTGAGGAGGCGGTTATAATCGCAATTTAAACTTATTATTTACTGCCTATTCTTTTTAACGGCAGGGTATATATTGATAGATATAACTGAAGAAAATTGCGAAGGACCCGCATGGTGTGGCGGTGAACGCGTTACTCCCCGAAAAGGACAATAGCGCGTTCGTTCCCCACCGCA